TGCAGCATTATTTACCATAGCTAAGATATGGAAATGGAAAGACTTGGAAAAAAATTATATTAAGTGAAGTAAGCAAGGCCCAAAGAAACATAGGTCCTATGATTTCCCTTATTTGCAATATCTACTGTATGTCTGGGACAAACAGAAAAGGTCAAAAGCTATGTACATATGACCAGATAAGATGATGTTAAGCAAAATGAACCCCAAGATGGAGACACAAGTGGTTTTTTCTTTCTTCCTAAAGTATTTATAATGTACCATGTGATTTTTTTTGTTTTTTTTTGTATGTTCCTCCCCCCACCGTATAACACCTGTTTTCACTGTATTTGTTGTCAGTGCCCTTGTATATATACTTCTTGTATATATACTTCTAGCTTGGGGAGGGAAAGGGAAAAAACAAAATGCTTAAATAGGGATACAGGGGCTGGGAAGGTGGCTCAGGGGTAGAGCGCTTGCCTTGCATGCCTGAGGCCCTGGGTTCGATCCCTCAGCACCACATATGCAAAAAGAAAAAAAAACTGGAAGTGGCGCTGTGGCTCAAGTGGTAGAGTGCTAGCCTTGAGCTGAAGAGCTGAGGGACAGCGCCTGGGCCCAGAGTTCAGGCCCCACGACCGGACCAAAAAAAAAAAATAGGGATACAGGTTGACCCATTGTAACAATGCGATGTACAAGACACTATGTTGAAAAACGAACTTTACAGTTTAGGCAGGAAGAGGTGGAGGGGGGTGGGGGAGTATAGTTGTGGAGATGTGAGGGAAGAGAGGGTAGGGGAAAACAAAGGAGGATGTAACAATCCTTGACAGGAAATGTACTTGCTCATGTAACTCTAACCCCCTGTACTTTCCTTTATCCAACCAGTAACTTAATGTGACTTCTTTAATGACTCTGACAAGAATTTCCTTTTAATCTCTGGAAATACTGGGCTTCAGGGCTGCTGGCCACCATGGAGAGAGGGGAAACTGGGACGTAATTTGTTATTCTGTGCACAGCTTGCCTGACTGTACCTAGCAGCTCCTGGTACAGCTTGAGGATAAGTCATGAATACTATTTTATAGGTAGTTAGCTTTCCATTACTGTGACAAATACCAGAGATAAACCAACTTAAAATGAGGAAGCTTATTTTGACCCACAGCTCTGAAGGTTTCAGTTCCTGATAAGTTGACTCATTTCTTTTGGGCCTGTGGTAAGATAGCACATCATGGCAGGAGCAAAGAAAGGGCAAGCTGCTCACCTTATGGTGGCTAGAAAATAAAGAGAGAAGAAACAGGAAGTATTCGGAGTCCTAATATCCCTTTCAAGGATACACCTGCATTGGCCTAACTTCCTTCCACAAACTCTACCTGGTAAAGGCTTTACCACATTCCATCGGCTGGTGATGGAGACTCTAAAACATGGGCCTCTGGAGACCATTTCAGATCCAAACTACAGCACAGAGGAAATGGGTTGTCATCTATATTGTGATTTTTCTTATAGTTCATAACCTTACTTCACATGAATCCCATAAATCATATAATATAAGGGGCTACTACAGAAAGTCTGGTCATAATAACAAAGAGGGACAGCATATAGGATGGTCACTGAACTCAGAAAAAAACAAATGAAAGAATTTGTAATATTACAAATAACCAAGAATGGTGACTTACACTCTAACTGTTATAAACTATAACTTCTTAGGCAGTCGTGATTGAAAAGATCATTGTTTGTGGCCAGCCCAGACAGTTAGTGAGAACCCATCTCATCCCAGTATGTCTGTAATCCCAGCCCCACAGGAGACATAGGCAAAGAGGATCACAGTCTGGGACTTGCCTGGGCAAAAACATGAGATCCTACCTGAAAAAAATCACTGAAGCACAAAAAAACTGGGCACATGGGTCAAGGGATAGAGGGCCTGCTTGTCAAGTGTGAGGCCTGAGTTTAAAGTTCAAACCCCAGTATAAAAAAGAAGAAGAAGAAGAAAAATGTATTATTGTGAGATGAGTAAATAATTATTCTGTACTTTGTAAATAGTTCTGTACTTTTAATCCTGAAACAAGGCAGGTATATGTATATGTATATGTATATGTTATATCCTGAGAGCCTAATATAGAACTATGCTACATGGATGTGATTGCTAGTCATTAAACAAATGCAGTGTGTGAAGAGCCCATTCTGTGGAGTCCTGAACACTCTGATGATCAGAGGTAGCAGCAGGAAGAACAGGGCACAGGCAGTTCCAGTGCCAAAGGGGTTTTTTCAACTAGGCAGCAGGACCATTTCCAGACAACTGTGGAAAAAGATGGCAAGAACTCTGGGGCTCACCGAGTGCTTTCAACAAACCTGACACCACACAGGCATTCCTTGTAAGGTGGATCTTTATGACCACGACCATCATACAGATAGGAAAACAGAGGCTTGAAGAGGCCAGGAAACATACCAGAACTCCATAAGATTAAAATCTGAGTGCGTTCAACTCTAAAAACTGTGTGGTCCCTAAACAGTCTCCATGTCCCAAGGTACAGTCATGCTCTGGGGAGAAGATGGGAGCCATGGGAACCCTTGCAGAGATCCATTCCAAAAGGAGATCCTGGCTCCTAGTACCCCATCCAAACTGTATCCCACTAAGGCTTGGCTCACCTGAGCAAAGATCAGCCTGTAATGAAGAACTTGTAAAGGGTTTACCATACAGTAATTGTTTCATTGTTTATACTGCTGTTATTAATATAACTGCATGGAGGACCATGGTCTCAGGAAGAAAGTAACAGAACTAACCATGTAACGGCCTAAGGTATGCCCTAAACCATATCCTACAGCTTATTGATTCACTTTTAAATATGTGTGAGTTCCATTGAAGAAATGGTAATGAATAACCTCATGGCAACTCCGAGTCACAGGGCCCTATGGAAACCATGCTCTGTGCTGCGAGATGGAACCCAGAGCCTGTGCTTACTAGCACTATACCCTTGAGCCTCATCTCTAGCCTGGAACTTAAAACTATGCTTTAGAATATTTCTCAATATCAGGGTTTCTGAGAGAAAATATACTCATGGATATTATATTCAAATTCCTCTTACTTATTGCTTATACTTCATATTTCCAGATGGTTGAGGTATTGGGGGAGGTTGTGTATTTTGTTTCTCAGTATGAAAATGGAGAATATAGCAATAGCATTGTCATCAAAAGAATAAGATTATTTACTCTGTGAATTTTGCATTTTTAAGAATTTAGAATCACCTAAATTTGATTTGTTTTTCAGCACTGGAGCTAGAACTCAATGCCAAGCAGGCACTTGCTATGTAAGCCATGTCCCCAGCACTTTTTTGTTGTATTATTTTTCATGTAGGGTCATGTACCTCCTGCCTGGGGCTGGCCTAAGCCTATGATCTTCATATCCACATCTCCCTAGTGACTGAGGTTGTAGACATCCACCGCCATAAAAGAGACAGGGTTTTGCCTGCTTTCTGTCCAGGCTGGCCTTGAACAGTGATCCTCCTATCTCTGTTCCACCATGCCAAGACCTAGCTTTGACATTTAAGGTAGAATAACTGCCATCTCAGCAAGCACATGTTACCAGTCTTGATCTGCAGACTATTAAGTGTGTGTCTTTTGAAGTATAACATGAAGCCTGATTAAAGGAGATTGCCTCTCCCCTCAAAAATCTGTTCCAAGCTTTCCTGGGATATACCTATGTGTGTGGTCTTGAATGCATATTCTGCACATAATCCAGATTAAGTGTCCCTGCCACGCACATTCCATATGATGCTTGGCCATTTATGGTGTTTGACCACCCAGGTTGTTCTTTATGGGAAAGCAGTTTCTGCAGCAGTGTTATACCCTTTAGACTACACTACTATTTGCTTCTAATTAGCATGATAGAGAACTGCAAATGTTATACAGAACCTATTCTAGGAGACTTTCTGCAAGATCATGTGTCTCTACACACATTTCAAATATCCAAATGGCATTTCAATGAAGGCCCAATAACTTTTTCTGCCATAAGAAAATAACTATCATCACTCTTCATTGCAGAAATTTTTTATACAGAAAACCAGATTTGGGTTAACTGAAGCAGGAGATTTGTCTGCAGAAGACATGAAGAAAATCCGCCATCTGTCTCTGATTGAATTGACTGCCTTTTTTGACGCCTTCAGAATTCAGCTAAAAAGAAGCAAAACAGAAAAAGTGAAAGGGCGAGGTAACTAAGACAGACCCTTCTGGTTGTGATGTCACACACTAGAATAAGTGAGTGCTTTTCTAATTCCTTTTTCTCTCTCTCTTGCCTATGGTATAATGAAGACAATGGGATTTTTGGAGTGCCACTTACAGTTCTCCTGGAAAATGATCGAAAGAAAGATCCTGGAGTGAAAGTCCCGTTTGTATTACAAAAAGTGAGTAGACTGGAAATGATGGAGGAACAGATTTCCTCCTGTGACTTGTTTCTTTCTAAACCTACTAGTGAGTTTTCCTTTAGGCTTAATGACACTGAAAATCCCTTCTAGTTATCAGATCCTTCTGATTTCCAGCTTTCTTCAGTGAATCCTCAAAATGGCCTCTAAATTAGGCTTAGGCTATTTGGCTGATGAACTAACCCAGTTTTCATTACTGTAACAAAATGTCGGATGATGGGCTCCTTGAAGGCTAGTACTATGCTAGTGAACACCTCTTGGGCTGCATCACCTTGTGCCACTGCAGTGCTGGAAGAGGGAGAGGTCAGAGCACCAGACAGCCACAGAGTGGGGAAGGCCAAGAACGATTTCCTACTGGGCTCTGCCGCCCAGCTTCCAACACATGAAGCCCTGGGGACATGCCACATGCACGCCCTGGCATTCCGGCTGCAGATGTTTTGAGCCTGTTACACTGTATCCATCAAATGATGGACACAGATGTTTCGTCTCACAGCTTCCTTCAATTCTGTTTTGTCCATTACTTGTTCAGATACTATTTGTGCACATGTTTATGTCTCTTTGTATTTGATTATTCTGTCTGGATAAAGATGACTATGTATTATTAACAGTGTATTTGTGGATCATCCAAGTGTGTGCTGAAAGATACCATAAGAAGATTTTTTTACGTGTATACTTGTGATCATTTTATGGATCGTTCCAAAGGTTAATAAAATCTAAAAATCAGCTTGTGATTGGGCAGATGGGGTACAATTAGACAAAGAGGATAATTTGGGTGAAACTAAATTTTTTAAATGACATTATCTCAGCTATCCAATGTGACTTTGTCTGTGGATATCATTGCTGGTTTACTTCTAAGTTTGTTTTATAGACAGCATTTATTCAACAGTGACATCCAGTGGCACAATTAAAATTTCATGGTGTATACTACAAAATGAAGAAAAAGGAAGGGGGGCTAGTTGGAGGGGGGCAAGAATGGTGAAGGGGTGACACAGCATTGTTTTCATAAGCTGCTTTGGTAACTGGCAACTCCTCTGTATAGTACTTAGAATTCATAACAAAATTTAATGCATTTTAGGTCATAGAAAATCAATAAAATTCCAAGCTATTAACCAGCTATGAAAAAGCTTTTAAATGATGTATAAAAATGTTGACACGTTATAGTATCATGCCACTACAAAGCCATGCTCAGAACTCTGAAAATGAACTTAAACAGAAGATACTCAATAAATGCCAGATTAAATGTAGATTTCTTAAATATTTCTGTCCATGCTTGAAGAATTACTTTAGGCCCAAGTATCGGGTAGCAGAGATCTGGAATCCCTGTCACCATGTGAATTTGGACAGGTTACTTATCCTTTCAGTGTCTTTAACGCCTCAGCTGTAGATGGGAAGAATAATAGTACTTACTTCATGATTGCCAAGATGAAGTGAGTCAATACAAGTGAAGAACTGTGAACTGGGTCTGATATGCATTACACAGACAGCTTACCATTAATACTCATCATTACCATCACAAGAGCTGATGAGAATCATTAGCTTCCATAATTTCTAGCTAGATCCTTGGTCAGACTTTCTAGAATTCCTACAGGCTCTTTCTTCCTCTCTTTTTCCTTCCTTCCTTTTTTCCTTTCCTTCTTTCTTTCTTTTTTTGTTTTTGTGTAGAGGTATTGGAGCTTGAACTATGAACACTTACAGCTTGGTGCTCTACCATTTGAGCTGCACCTCTATTTCTAGCTTTTGCTGGCTAATTGGAGATAAGAGCCTCTCAGATTTGTCTGCTTGGACTGGCTTCCAACAATGATTCTCAGATCTTAGCCATCTTGATGGCCAGGATTACAGGCATGAGCTTACTTGTGCCTGACTCCTATGGGTTCTTAGCCAGGATAGTGGTAACAAAGGATGATAGTTTTAGAATCATTTCTTACTGTTCAATTTTCAGAAAGACATGCAATACTCTAATCTTAAATTGTTAAATGGCAGCATATTATAAGTGGTTGAGAGCTCATGCTGGAGTCAGTGTTATTTCCTATGTTATGAGATGGATATTTTAGGAAAGCTGTGGAATAGCTGTAGTAGAGATTTGCTCATTTGCAACTTTGAAGATAATGTTGACCTTATAGGTGATTGTGAACATTTACCAATGCCTTCAAGTATAGACACATATATATGCTTGATACTGTATCAGTTTCTATCATCATTGTTTGAATTTCTGATGTTTATAATTATATATAAATACTTAATTGATAATATATCATTGTTTTCTAGTTTTTTGAGAAAGTTGAAGAATCAGGTCTGGAGTCTGAAGGAATTTTTCGGCTTTCAGGATGTACTGCCAAGGTCAAGGTACCCAACAGTTTCTCTATTCCTGGTTAGAGATCTAAGCTGGTTAGACCCAGTAAATGAGCAGCAGGAATTTAGTTTAGTCTGTCATTGTCCTTGCTTAGTTGACTTTGTCACTTGGTTCAACCCAGGGTTTCTTTAGTACCTGTTTTATGACACTTCTAAATTAAAAAGCAAAGCAGTAAGTTTTAAACCAGTAATAATGAAATAACATATCCATTCCGCATTGCAAACTGTTCTTGATTTTAGTTTGAGTAGCTCATTGCCCTGTCACTGGGGTTAACCATGTCAGTTTGTTGTGTTCATCTTGGTCACGTAAATCACTCAGTCCAGAGCATAGGAGCCCTTCTTTCCACTACCAGCTGCTCTTTTGCTTCTCATTTTAGTTGAAGTTTTTGAAGAATTTTTAGCAATGACTATAACCTCTGAAATACTTACTCAGCAGTTGTAAAACCCAATTCCATTTATGGAAATGTTAGTGCCCACGTTTAACTCCACCCATCACCCAAGCCTATGAATCCATTCACTCTGCCTTCTGACTTCCATCCGATAGTGGGCTCTATGGAATAGTACAAGAAACAGTCATTGAAAAGTGGAGCGCTTTCATAAATTTCCAATAAAAATATCCTAGTGCATCTCCGGGTGGGTACACAAAGTGAAGAGCTATTATCTGTACTTGGATCACCCCTGGATAAGGGCATTAAATAATAAATCTATGAGTTGTTTTTCTCAGGACCAAAAAAAGGTATCACTTCCACAATTCACTTAGTATGTGATTTGGGGAGGGCATCGATTTTTTTGTACAAGGAATCTTAAGACTTTGTCACATTTGAGTATAAACAGAATAGGCTGTACCCATTGGCTCCTCCAGAGAGCCCACGCAGAAGTGGATTAACAGAGGGAGAGAGCTACTGGAGCATGGTATTTCCAAAAAGATGGAAGGGGTTCAGCTCATAGACAATCCCTGACAATCCCTTCCCACCAAGGAATGAGCAAGGTCCTATACCTCCCCACACCCAGCCATGGGCTGGGCTTTCTTCAAAGCATGTGTAGAAAACTGTATAGACCATGGTAATGACAGTTTGCCTTGTGAAGGTTAAAATGTGTTTGGGACTTTAACAAAGTATCACTATTCCACAATACTGTGGAAAATACTGTGAGAGAAAGGATGGGTTAGGAGAGATGGGTGGCAATGTTGTCAGACACTTTGTATTCATATACTGTTTTGTAGAATGGGAACTTCTTTGTACAACTACTTAAAGATAACAATAATAAAAAAGTAGAGTCTTCACTCTTTGAAATCAGAATCAGGGATTAAGACTCTTCCTTCCTTCCTCCTTCCCTTCCTTTCTTCCTTCCTTCCTTCCTTCCTTCCTTCCTTCCTTCCTTCCTTCCTTCCTCTCTTCCTTCCTTCCTCCCTCCCTCCCTTCCTTCCTTCCTTCCTACCTTCCTCCTTCGTCCTTCCCTCCTTTCTTCCCTTTCTTCCTCTTTTCCTCTGCCTCTTGATACCTATCTTTCTTCCTTTATTTTTTTTGTAATACAAGTCTTCTTTTACCCACCCATACTCCTTGTGAGGATTCTGTGTCCTTTATCTTTTTGACAAGATCTTGCCATGAAGACCAGGCTGGTCTCAAATTCAAGATCTTCCTGCCTTAGCTTCCTGAGTGCTGAGATTACAAACATGTAGGATTATTTTCAGCTAAGGGAGAATTTCTAGGGATAACCGAACAATGTTTTAAAAATTAGGGAAAGATGTATATGTATGAAGATAGTAATTAATGAGGACAGATAATGGAAAAAGAAAATGACAAGTGCCCAGAATCCTGTAGGGAAAATAAAATTTGTAAGGCTGAGGAAGAAAGTGAGTTATCAAATCTTTGAGGTATTCAATTAGTCATTGAAAAGTATTGAATGAGAAATTAGTGATAGATAGATAGATAGATAGACAGAAAGACAGACAGCATATGTAGAGGGACTGACACCTTGGGAGAGTGCAGCAAAACGTGGTGAGTTCTCTTTTGCAGGCAGATCTGAGCAGGGTACAAGGGCCTTACCAGTGACAGTAATCAGGGCATGTTGGGACTTGTGACTTCCCTAAGAAAGGGGTTGGTTAAATATTGGCATAAGTTCTTTAGGAAGGCATTTTAATTCCCAGAGACTCCTTAAGAGTTATGCTTTCTAAGTTAAATCTGCTTTTGTTCCAGTTTTCTATATAGTTGGTTCTTAGATATACTTCCGAACAAATCTATCTTAATTATTTTTTTCCGTAGTCCTGGAGTTTGAACTCATGGCCTGGGTAATGTCTCTTCAAGCTGACTTCAAACTGAGGTCCTTGGATCACAGCCTCTTGAGTGACTAGGATTACAGGCATGAGCCACTGGTGCCTGGTAATCTGTCCTAATTCCAAGAGCAAAAATGATTTCAGTTTGGTTGGTTAGTAATACAATCAGAGACCCAAAATGAAGTTATTCTTACCAGTTGTGGCTTAAAAAAAATACTTATCAGAGGCTAATCATCGTTCAGAGTGTTTTTACAATCACATGCATTCCTGAACCACATTTAGGTCAAAGTCTTGGTTTTATATCGTGTCAGCCTATTTATTTCACTGCTCGTTAGCCAAAAAAAAAAAAAAAAATGCAATCCAGATGTTTCATGATTCAAGCTCCAGCAAAGCCAATGTGAAAGAAATTTGGGGCAGTGAACAGAAACAGAAAGCCAGAGAGGCATTGTAATGTGATGTGTTGGAGGGGTCTTTATTCCTTTCCTTTATTTAAATCCTAGACAATCTTACTTTGTTTGTTTGGATGGTTCATTAGTTGGTTGGCTGGTTGCTTTTGGTTTTGCTTGTAACTTCATCCACTGGACTTTTTCTAAGAACATGCTTGGAGAAAGTCATTTAAAAAAAAATCCTCTGTTAGCATCGAATTTGTGCCAAGTAAATATCACCAACCAGTAAGGGCAACAGCTCAGCCAGACTCTTTGATTTAGATGCTTGATAAGATGGACAGGCTGCAGTCCTGAGAAGAAGATGCTAGAATTTATAGCCAGACAGACACAAGTGTGAAGTCAGTTCTCATATTTGAGGCTACAGAGCATTTGGAAGCAATTGAATGCTTTGTGTGTTCAATGATTTTCTTTCAAAACATGGCAGAAATTGGAGCCCAGCACTGAGAATATGTTTAATGGGAGGCAGAATATTTGACACATAAGGTTTTCTTTCTGACTCATTTCCATTCTTCAGAGGCAGCCTGTAGCTGATGGCTACAGGCTTTCCATTTGCCTTTGTGTGAAGCAGCCTCAGAAACTCAACTAGGCTGCATAGGAGTGCCAGCCTTAAGAATGAAGTGAGGGTGCAAGGCCCTGAGTTGAAGCCCCAGTATTGAGACAGAAGAAAGATGGAGAGAGGAAGGGAGAGAGAGAGAGAGAGAGAGAGAAACAGAGAGAGAGAAACAGAGAGAGAGAAACAGAGAGAGAGAAACAGAAAGAGGGGGGGAGAAGAAAAGGAGAGAGGAGAAGAAAAGGAAGGAAGGAAGGGGGAAGAAACAGAAATTGAAGCAGGCTACTTTTAAGCTCAAAAGGGATCTAAGGACAGAGTTTATGAACCCACCTAATTTCTTAGTAACTATAGACACAAAACATGGACCTTTATCCTCTTAATGCCCTGCCTTTGACCAGGTAAATTCATACCAGGCTTCTGAGATTTCACATCTGGGGTCACCACATGGGAGCTCTGTTTACAGGCTCCAGTTTGCTCTTTTTTGTTTTGTTTTGTGCCATCACTGGGGCTTGAATTTAGGGCCTGGACACTGTCCCTTAATATTTTTTTTCCCAAGGCTAGCACTTTACCAGTTGGGCTACAGTTTTGGCTTTTTGTGGTTAATTGGAGATACAAGTCTCATGGATTTTCTTGCCCTTCAAATCTCCATCCTCAGAACTCAGATCCTAGACTCCGGAGTAGCTAGGTTGCCACAGGGTGCCGGGCTTTTCAAGTCTTCTCTTGTTGGAACCCAAACACATTGTTTCTCTGGCTATTAAGACAAGATGACATTTTAATACCCAGAGTCACAGCTACCAAGGGGGGAGGGTGGCCTCTGCTGAAATGACACTGAAGGTAGATCAGATGTATGAGGAGGAGACAGCACAAGCTGTGTCTTCAGTGTCAGGCCACACTCTGTGAGCATGTACTGCTATCCCATCTCATTCCAGGGAAGTTATTTTTAAAGTTCTAGTTTTGGTTGATATATGGAAAATGATACATATTTGCTTAATACCATGTATTTAGATACCCATACATTGCACAATGTTTCTGCTGGGGTGAGTCTATCTATGTTCCTATACATTTATCATTTCTTTATGATGAAAACGTTCAAATCCTCTCTTATAGTTTCTTGAGACATATAGTCTTCTCTTGTTACTTATTGCGCAATAGCACCCTGACATTGGACAATCAGTTCTCTCTTTCATTATCATAGTTAATTGTCACCACAGTAGGCATTGTCCCTCTTATGTGCACCTGCCTCCTCTGTGTCCTACAACTACATGCCCAAGTTAGTCTCCTTCATTGATCCTCCATAACAATAACAGAGGCCTCTTGTCTCTCACCTTCACCTGCCTTACAACAAGTTCCACACTTTCTGAAATAATTCTTCTGTCTGCCATCAGGAAAGATAAATCTAGCCTTGTCACTCCCCTGCTCAGAGATGTGCCCAGTGGTTTTGCTGTTGGTACTCATACAACTGAGTATGAATAGCCCTCATGTGGTTCTAATCAGCATCCCACGCCTGGTCCTTGTTCCAGCAATGCTGACCTGGCAGTTGCTTCTCAGAAACCCTGGTTCTCCAGGCATTTGTGTCATGAGCCATTCCTCTATCCAGGCCCCTGTGTGTTCTCTTTGGCCAGTGAACTCCTTATTGTTCCTCAAGCCCAGGTTCCAAAACCTTCCTTTCCTCCACCTGTTGCTAAAGGCACAGTAAGGATATCATGCATTCTTCCCCCTCCCCCACCACCGGCCCACTCAGGCATGCAAGTCTTGTCTGTTCTAGAATGGTTTTTCTGTATTGTAAAGCTCTGTCACATGTATTTATCAATTAAGGACCATGTGTGATTAGCTGTATTATTCCTGTTAGGTTGCAGGACAAAAAGAAACTGTTCTTTGATATCATCAACAAGGGCCAGAGGTTGGCTGGGTCAGACTCAGAGAGGCTGTAGAAGAAACCTGTCTTACCAGGGAGCTGTGTTTTCCAGACTGGCAACTGTGAGAGCATTTGCAGTCCTATGTTAATGAGATGATCTTGGTAGGAAAAGCTGCAATGTACAAACTGACCGTGGCTGGTTATAAAGAGAAAACAAAACTAAATTACTTGCAGGTGTCCATTAAGGATGCCTATAGGTAAACAGTTCAAAGGAACAGCAGAACCTGAACTTGACTTTGGTAAAGGAACACGGCGAGTGGATAAGTCAGATGAGTTAGTAATGTAAAAATTATAAGCCAAGTACAATTTATGAAAGCATAGTGCTTTTTCTTTTTCCCCAAGAGTGTGTGCACTGTGTTCTAAACCTTAGAAAGGATGTCAGGTACGCGAGTGTGCGTGCGTGTGTGTGTGTGTGTGTGTGTGTGTGTGTGTGTGTGTGTGTGTGTGTTGGCATACAATTCTACTGTATCTGCTCTAGGAAGATGTCATCAGGCTGCCTGCTGGAGTGAGGTCAGAGTTTCTTTGCTGGGATGCTCTCATTGTACATGTGAACTTGCTGAGAGATACACATTCTTGATCTAATTTGGAAGTGGAGATGAGGATGGCAGAAGGGATTGTGGAAAAAGGGAGTGGAGGCTTTGTCAAAATCTAGCAGTGCATTTGTCATGTGGGGATGGTGATTTCCTGCCAAAGCCACAGAAATGAATTAGGAGCCAAGTAAGGAACTTTTATAATTGTGTAGAATTAGCCATTTAAGGTCAAGATTATTTTAAAAATAAATCTATTGACAGAAGTGGTTAATGTAGCAATGGTAGTAGACTTCAACGGGGGCAAAAAGGGTAAGATGGTAAAAGTTGTTGCCGATTGGCTGTCTTTCTTGGTTTCAGCAATACCGTGAAGAACTGGATGCCAAATTTAATGCCGATAAATTTAAATGGGACAAAATGTGCCATAGAGAAGCTGCTGTCATGCTGAAAGCATTTTTCCGAGAACTACCCACCTCTCTCTTCCCCGTGGAATACATCCCTGCCTTCATCACTCTATTGGAAAGTAAGTGGAGGAGTTCTGTGTGAACAGTCTAAAGTGTAAAGGCTGTAAAGAAGCAGCAGAAGACAGATGCATCCTGAAACATGATCATAATACCAAAATTTTAAGCTTGATACTCACGTATTTAAGTCTGGTAGACATGACCTAAGGAGCTTTATAATCATTACAGGGCAGAGGGAAAATTGCAGAATGACCAAGATGTTAAGATTTGAATTCCTGAGCAACTATGCGTTAGCCCTACAGTCAAAGTTTCTGAGCCTCACCTGCAGAAGCTTTAAATTACAGATAATAACTACTTGTCAGGGTGCTGTTGGGTATTGCATGAAATCAGCTAGAACAGTGCCTAGATGGAGGCCTCTTTCTCTAAACCTGAGGCCTTGGGCCTGATGATGCGCCTCCATGTAATAGATGCTTCACATCATGTCTCTGAAAATGATAGAATTACATAATGATTTGGAAATTACAAAGTCTTGTAGATTAAATCGAATGTGAATTACCTGATTAAAAGCACAGGGTGGTGTGTTATGGTGCTGTGTTTGGCAGGCAGGGAGTAATTCAACACGGTGGGATCATAAAGGTTGAATGTTGTAGAGAATGTGACAAGAAAGGAATGAGAGGAGGTTAAATGGTGGGCTTTGACTGCTAACATGGGGTCACAAAGGTCACAAGCCTAAGTATTTAATGCATGTGAAATAGATAGGGTTTCTTCCAGGTCAGGAAAGGGTCATAGGCAGATGAGAGAGACACTGGCCCTGCTCAGCTCTAGGTAACACTTATATGTGGGACTAAAAGTCACATTCAGGCTTTGATGGGAACTTTTCTAATTTGAAAATGCTACCTTGCAGATTTAAATTTTATAATGCTGTGTGCTTAATTGATATCTGTATATGCCATCTACAGCCTTCCAAAGGTTGACTAGAACTTTGAAATTATTAAAATTTCAATGAGAAGAAATGATTGATTATAAGCTGCATGGAAAATTTTGTGCTAGAAATTAATAGTTCCTAATTTTGTATCAAACCCATATTCACAAATGTATTGTAAAATTTTGTATTAAACCATACTCACAAAATAATCCTTTCTGTCTTTGTGACAGACAAAGAAACTATTTTACTTATTCTAATTTTCTTATGCTGGTAGTGGGGCTTGAACTCAGGGAGAAAGCACTGTTTCTAAATTTTTATGCTCAAGGCTGGCACTCTACCACTTGAGAACCACTCCACTTCCAGCTCTTTAGTAGTTAATTGGAGTATAGAGTTTCACTGACTTTCCTTCCCCTGGCTGGCTGTGAATCTCAATCCTCGAATCTCAGCCTCCTAAGTAGTTAGGATCATAGGCATGAGCCACCAGTGCTCAGCTTAAGCTACCCTTTTGATACTCAGTGGAGTTCAGAGAACACAGATTAGTTCCCACTTGTGTAATTATTTTCTCTTTTCTATCTTGGGTACAAATTTGCCAACACAATTAAAGCCCAGTCAGGCTACAGAGACTTACAGGAAAAGCATTTTCCTGCAAAGCACTATTTTCCTAGGAAAATAATGACCTGTGGAAAAAGAGTATTCTCTACCAGAGTGCATTAACTGAATTAACTATGAAATATTAACCACAAAGCAATGTCAGCCAACTTGCCTAAGTAAAATGAAAATAGATTATTTGCCAAAGTAGACTTTTAATTGTGAAAGAAACCAGAATTTCTCTGTAATTGAAGGAAATAGAAAATGTCCAAGCCTACTTCTGCATCTATTGGTTTTTTTTTAACCTAGAGGTGATTTTAAATTGTACTGAAAGATTCCATACAGCCCCAAGCCTCCAGCTGATCACAAAAATAATGTGTGATCTGTCCTTAAGTGCTTCGTATGGAGAAATGCTCCTGATAGGCCCCACAATTCAGCCAGGACAAGCTCATGTCAGTGTACAGTAGACATTTTCCATGACCTCCTGGACCTGTGTCGAGTATGGTTTACAAATTTGACATCATTATCTAAAATCCACATATGAGTTATGCTGGGACATTGAAATTAGATCCTATTAGATCCTAGATGCCTCCCACTTCTGCATTATTCCTTGGTGCATCCACTTGCCATTCATTCCCAAACTGGCACATGTAGCCTCCAGCACCCACCTTACCAACTAACTGATGGCCCATTGGCTATATGGAGTAGAACTAGATTTTCCTTCAGCTTGAGAACAATGCTTTCTTGCAGGAACTCCTCACCAAGAGACCATTTGAGGTAGATACAGAGAAATGAAGGAAAGCCTGGATTCTCAGGTGCTCTATAAATTTTCATCATGGCTGGCTGTGGATTTTCCTATGAAGATAGAAACACAATGTATAAATGCAGCTTTATGGTGCCATCTTGTGTCTTTAAGGAATAAAATGCCTTACAATCTCCAAAACTCTAACTAGTCACTTTGTTGGAACTCTCAAAGCTGGTTCTGGGCAAAAACATGAGACTCCAAAGCAAAATGGGGTGGTGGCATGGCTCAAGTATTAGAGCACTTGCCTCAAAAGCACAAGGACCAAAATACCTGTACTGTCAAATAAGTGGTACTAGTCATCAAAACAAGATCCCTCACACTGGATACAATGGCTGAATTCAGGTACTGACTTAATCACATGCATATATTAACACATTTTATCCTATCCCAGCCATATAGCATTATGAGGTAGGTTAGATATGATGACTTCTTCCATTTTACAGATGGTAAAATAGGAGCAATGAAGAGTTAAATAACCTGCTCAGATTGGCACTAGTGGCCAAGACTTGTAATCCTATATACTCAGTAGTCTGAGACCTGGAGGATCATGTTTCAAAGCCAGGTGGAAAAGGCTGTGAGATGCCATCTCCTTAACCAACAAAATACTAGACTATAGATGTAGCTCAAGTGATAGAGCACCAATTGTGAGTGAAAAGGCCAAATGAGGAACTCAAGGTCCTGAGTTCAAGGCCTGGTCCCAGCACAAGATAAATATTTAAAGCTGCCCAAGCTCATGTAGTAACTCAGAAATAGATGCAGAATTTGAACCTGATTCTAGAATATACATTCCTGATTGTTATATGTTGCTGCTTTCTTATGTGGAAACAAAGTTTATTCTTGAATTGAGCTGAAAGCCTTCTACTTACTGCACAAATGTGCATCTAGGTCTGTGAAATCACTTCACAAGGGGAAATGTGATACAAATCTAGAATTACTGTGAGAACCTCACTGCCATGCTCCTATAAAGGCATTGTGGGGTTGGAGGGGAGTTGACAGGCCCAGGCTCTTGTCCAAGTGAACAATTTATGTTGTGGGACATAAAACCTGAGGCCTTGCCACCCAGAACTGTCAGGAGCCCTCCTGTGTCAGCAGATGTTAGCAGGAAATGCTGTCAGGAGGCATCTGTGTTGTTTCAAGCCTGTGATTGCCTCTATTTTCTCATCAGGAGGGCCTCACATAAGAGTGCAGTTTCAAGCCTTACACCTCATGGTCATGGCCCTGCCTGATGCCAACCGAGACACAGCCCAGGTACGTCGTAGTAACCTCATGATCTGTTGTGGAGCTTGTATTGCTCAGAGGAAATGGCTCACCTGGGGGAAATAGAAGCAGAGATGACGATTTCCAGAGCAGTGCAGTAAGCTGCAGAGCTGCTGCCATTCCATGCCGCCATTGCCTAGGAGGACAGGAAGAAGGGCCATTCTCTAGTCTTCCTTGAACTTTTGAACTTCATTTATTCCATTCATGAGAGGAATTTTAGCTATCTAGCCACTTGCCAAGGAAGGTATTAGGATTGGGGAAACAGAGATGAGAGGCCTAAATGGTTCTGTGTCAGAAGTAAACAAGGCCATTTTGTAAGTTACAACATATAAGCAAGATGTCTTTATTGATCTTCGGCTTCTCACTTCAGTCTAATTGTTTAAAAAGAAAAAAGAAATCTTTGGGTCTCTATTAAGAAAATTTCAGCCTGTGCCAACAAGACCTAGGGCTTCTCTTATTCTACCCTGTAATGTTTTCAGAGTGTCTGCTTAGACCACACTAAAGCTACCAGCACAACAATGTTTATTGCAGCATTATTTACTATAGCTAAGATATGGAACCAACCCAGATGCCCCTCAGTAGATGAATGGATCAAGAAAATGTGGTATATATACACAATGGAATTCTATGCCTAAGAAATGGAAAGGCTTGGAAAAAATTATATTAAGTGAAGTAAGCCAGGCCCAAAGAAACATAGGTTCCATGGTTTGCCTTATTTGCAATAACTAGTATATGTCTGAGACAAGCAGAAAAGGTCAGATAAGTTGGTGTTAGGGAAATGTATTCAAATGTTTTTTTTCTTTCATGCGATTGTTTCTGACACATTTATAAGATTATTTCTTTGTTGCTTTGTATGTCCCTCCCCCACAGTATAACCCCTGCTTTCACTGTATTTGATGTCGGTATAATTTGTGGAGGGGAAAGAAAAAAGAAATGGTTTAAATAGGGATACAGGTGGATCTATTGCAACAATGAGATATAAAGTTGTTACATGGAAAATGAACTTTACAACTTTGGTGGAGGGGGAGGGGGGCGGGAGGAGGATTGGGTGGGGGGGTGGGGGGAGCATGGGAAGAGATGGGAGGGGGAAACAAAGGAGGAGGCTACAATGCTTGATAAGAAATGTACTCATTATCTTGCCCATGTAATTGTAACCCCTCTGTACAGTATTTTCACAATAAAAAAAGAGAAATCTAATGAAGGTCTTTGAAGAAGAAATTTGAAATCATTGAGTTAAAGGAAATTTCTAAAATCTCTGTGTTTGAAAACATATGAAGATAATGCAGTTTCAAAAATTCTAGGATGTCGGAATTTTAAACAATGACAAATAGAATCTCGTATTTTGGATTGGGAAAATGAGGCTCAGAGCAGTGTTTTCTCCCATAGCATGTAATGGAATGTTTGATAGAATCATATTCTATAGTTCTTCATCCAGTTATCCCTCTCTTTATTTAAATTATTTATTTGCTCTATGTTGGTAAAACAAAACAAAATAAAACCTCTAGTGGGATCCAACTTTGAAAATACAAAGAGCTTCCTTCTGGGATCTGAGTCTTCTCAGTATATTTCTGATGCTTCGCAAAAATACCTGTATTTTGACGATTCCACAAACTTTTCAGGTTTCTCAAATCTTTTTTTTTCATTTTAATGCTTATAGTAGCTACACTTGGCATCTTCCTGCCTGTGGCCTGTTGAAATTTTCAATATATAGCTTACAAAATGTAAGAAAAGTGAGGGAAGGGTGGGTTAGGGAGATGGGTGAGAATGTTGAAAGGGATGACATTGATCAAGGCTCATTGTATTCATAAACTGCTTTGTTGAATAGTAACTTCCTTGTACAACTACTTAATAAAATAATATAAATATGAAACATTGTAATTATAAAATTATAAAATAAAATATTGATATTAATAAAAATATTAAGAACTAATAAAAGCAGTATCAAAAACAGGTTTTATTGCATACACCTGTAAGCTCAGTACTCTTGGAGGAAGAGGTAGGAGGATTGTAAGTTTGTGACCAGCCTGCATTACACAGAAAAGTTGAGGCCAGCTAGGCAACTTAACAAGACTATGTCTCAAACAAGCAAAAAAAAAAAAAAGTGATAAAAATGGCACTGAAAAAAGTAATTTTTTATTATCATTAAGTAGTTGTACAAAGGGATTTCAATTCAACATGTAGTTTATGAGTACAATGCATCTTGATCAATGTCACTCCCTTAGACATTATCACCCAAGTCTCCCAACCCCATCCAGCCCCGCAAGTTGCCTGGTGCCATTCTCTCATATATACATTGAACATTATGGATGTATTCGGCCACCATCAAAAAGTAAAACAATGTAAACTGAGCTGACATTTGGGCTGAGAAATGAGTAACTCTTGTTGTTTAAATTGGTTTTCATTTCCCACGGAAGCAATAAATTGTTTTCAACAGTAAAGATTTGAGGATATATTTTAAGAGTTACTTTTTGTTCTTCACAACAAAACTACATTTTATGTTTATTTGAGCCTCAGTGTTTTCTCTAGCCCTGGTTCATGTTTAATTTTAATATTTGTCAAACTTGTTTAAGATAAAAGAAAATAAGAAAATGCAAGCTGTTTATATAGACTCCAAGATAATAAATTTATGAATATTTTATGGACCAGCCAGCTGAAGACACTGCTCACCTTCTTTCTTATACTTTTAAGTAATTAAATGGGAAGGAAGACATATTTTATGCATCCCATACATCTAACATTTTCTCAGCAGCCCAGCGTATAGAATTGAGTTGTAGCTGTCTAGGTCTGGTGGCACATATCTGTAATCCCAACTACTCAAGAGACAGAAGTAGGATGATCAAGTTCTAAGTCTATCAAGGCAAAAGCTTGAGACTCTATCAATCCCTAGTATGGCCCATTGAAGAGACATGACCACAATCAGTGGAGCTTTTAATAATTTATAATGTTCTGACATAATTCTGTTTCTTGTTAGGCCTTGATGAAATTCTTCAGTAAAGTGATTGCCAACGAATCAAAAAACCGAATGAGTGTGTGGAACATTTCCACTGTGATGGCGCCAAACCTCTTCTTCAGCAGAAGCAAACACTCCGACTGTGAAGAGCTACAGTTAGCAAACACCGCAGCGCACATCATCCGGCTCATGCTCAAGTATCAGAACATTCTGTGGAAGGTAACTGTGTGACAGGTTACTGTCAGGCTCCTGTAGGAAGCCACCAACCTGCAGGAAACATAAAGGCCCCGCAATGGAATATTTCCCTTAGTTGGAGAAGAGAATCCCAGTTGACTTGTGTCTTCAGACCCAGCTGGGCCTCCATACCCACAGTGCTGCCACTCTGGAGGCTGACAACCACAAACTAAATACGTTCCCTGCAAATTGTGTCTGGACTGAATATGAACCGACATTTTTTTTTCTTGTGAATATTTCCTAAACAATAGGCAAAACAACAATTTAAACAGCACTTAACATTCTGTTAGGTATGATTAGTCATCTAGAGATAGATTAAAAATATATGGGAAGGGAAGCTGTGGCTCAGAATGGTAGAGTGCTAGTCTTGAGCAAAACAGCTCAAGGACACGCACCCAGGCCCTGAGTGTGTGTGTGTGTGTGTGTGTTGCACACATACACACATATGAGAACACATGTAGATCTTTTGCCATTTTATATAAGGAAATGCTGAGCATCCAAGGATCTTGTACCTGAAAGAGTCTTGTAACCAATCCCCTGGGATACCAGGAGGGGATAGTACATTCTTTAAGAGCTCCTATTTGGCATACTTTACTATTTTTTTTGGGGGGGGGGATCTGGTCGTGGGCCTGAACTCTGGGCCTGGGTGCTGTCCTTCAGCTCTTCAGCTCAAGGCTAGTGCTCTACCACTTGAGCCACAGTGCTACTTCTGGCTTTTTTTTTTCTGCTTATGTGGTGCTGAGGAATCGAACCCAGGGTCTCATGCATGCAAGGCAAGCGATCTACTACTGAGCCACCTTCCCAGCCCCCATACTTTACTATTAAATAGAAATCCACCCTTTCTTCTAATCTTCATAAGAACAAAGGCCATTGTCTCTGGTTGCAGTGGCCAGGAGGAGTCTATATACTTTCAGTCTAGTGTTTTCCCTTGACACAAGCTACTTTTCTTCTCCAGGTTCCATCTTTCTTGATCACCCAAGTCAGAAGGATGAATGAAGCCACCATGTTGTTAAAGAAACAGCTCCCAAGTATGAAAAAGCTACTCAGGAGGAAGACCATAGAACGGGAGGTAAGGACCACAATTAGAGGACACAGATTGTTTACAACCTAGATGGAGGCTTCTGTTTTGTTTTGTTTTAGTGTCATTTAGGTCCTGGGTCTGGGTACCGTCCCTTAGCTTTTTTCACTAAGGTTGGTGCTATACCAATTGAGCCACACCTCACTGCTGGCTTTTTGGTGATTAATTGGAGATAAGAGTCTCAGACTTGATTGCCCTGGCTCGCTTCAAACCAGTAATCCTCAGATCTCATCCTCCTGAGTAGGTAGGGTTATTAGGCAGGAGCCACTTGCTCCTAGCATGACCTAGACTTTTATTTCTCAAAGGGAAGCACAATGTAGCTTGCAGTTTAGAACCAAAAATGTTATAGTCTTATAAGTATAAACTTTGTGGGAAGTATGTTCCTAAACAGAATGCTGTGGTCTTTCCATTTTCTTGAATGACATGGTTTGGGTTAAAATTGCTGCAATACCTATCCCGTGAATATAGAGTGTTACATATCCTACTAAGGGCTTACCAGATGGTGGAAATGGTTGCCTAAAATGCTCAAGTCAGCAGTTCAGTTTTTGTAAACTAGAATCAAGGGCAAACCAGTCTCAAATAAATGGCAATTTCTTTAGTGATTGAGTAATAGAACAGTAAATAATCCTTAATATCTTTGTATACACCCATCCCACCCCCAGGAAATTTTGCTTGGTTACAGCTGTGTGGTGACATATAATGGAACCAAATCTTACAAAAATTACCAATTGTTTGAACTAAACTTGGGGATGACTCTAAGTATTAGGCCTTAGTTGCACTTACCTTTAAGAAGATGTAAACACTTGAAACTCACTTTGGTTTAAAAGGATTTATGCCAAGCCACGTGTTATAATCCTAGCTATTCAGGAGGTTGAGATCTGAGGATCACTATTCAAAACCAGCCCTGGCAGAAAATTCCCTGAGATTCTTATCTCCAATTAGCCAGCAAAAAGCTACAGTGGAGCTGTGGCTCAAGTGGTATAGCATTAGCTTTGAGTGAAAAGCTAAAGGACAGTGCCTAGGCCCTGAGTTTAAGCCCCAGTATTACCGTACACAAAGGAAAAAGGACATATGCAAGTTTAGGAAGTAAAGGGTTTAAAGGCCCTGAATCCTTAGCAGTATACTAGGGCAGTTGCTCAGTAGCACAGAAAGTAGAATAACCGGCTCAGGCATGGGAACTGTGGATCACCTCATGGAGAAAGTGCTGTCTGAACTGCATCTTGAAGGATGGACAGCAATGGGAGGGGAAAAGGAAGTTCACCAAGGCAGCAGTAAATGCTGGGCAGTCAGGCAGGAGAGCCTACTGCTAATGAGTTTGGCAAAGTCACGATGTGTCTCTTCTCTTTTTGGTAATTTGCAAAAATGACTTCAAGTACAAGGATAATGAGTCCATTCTTATTTTTCCTTTTGTTTTTAACAAAAAAATTAACATCAAGTGGTTGTTCATTTTTTTATTGTGAAAATACCGTACAGAGGGGTTACAATTACATGAGCAAGGTAGTGAGTACATTTCTTATCAAGCATTGTTGCCTCCTCCTTTGTTTCCCCTTCCCATCCCTTCCCATTCCCTCCCCACCCCCAAAGTTGTAAAGTTCGTTTTTTGACATAACCTCTTGTACATCTCATTGTTGCAATGGGTCCACCTGTATCACAGGGGGTTTATTTTAACATGTCCATTATCTATAGAATTCATGTTGGTCATGATCCCCACCCCCATCATTCTCCACTCTTCTTTTTTCTCTTTCAGTTGACACTTGGCTATGATGAATAGTGCTACAGTGAACATCCACTTTAATGACTATATCCGCCCTCTGTGTTCATCCATCACCTCACATAACCTCCATACCAGCCCAGACATATTTCAACTTCCTAATGTTTTGTTAAGCTGTGTGTTAATTGCTCAAAGAGGTTCCATTATGGGATCTCATACCTGTATATCACGCTTTAATCAGACTGATCATAGATACACACACATATAATCCTATATGTTTGTATTTTAGGACTAACAGCCACATATGAGGTAGAACCTATGACCTTTGTGCTTCTGAACCTAGCTTACTTCACCTAATATGTTTTATTGACCCATTTATTTTCCTATAGATGACATAATTGTATTCTTCTTCATGGTTTAATAATACTCTATTGTGTATCTAGTTACCACATTTTCTTGATGTACTCATCAATTATGGGGCAACTGTGTGGTTCCATAGCTTGGCTCTTGTGAGCAGGGCTGCAATGAAATGAGTCTACCAGTTTGAGGTAAAAACTGGTAGAAGATAATACTTTAACAATATACGTTATATAATCATTTAAGAATACAATTTGTAACAAATTATAAATTTAAAGGGTTGGAAAGACTTTATGAAACTTTATAAAACATGCCTGACTTCCTGTATTGCTGATGACTAATGTAAGCAATGAAGGCATGCATGTGCACACATGTGCAATTATGAACACAGTTGAGCCTCTGGATCCATAGGTTCTAACCTCTATAGACTGTGGAAAATATCTTGGGGAAAATTTTGCACAGATACTGACCATATACAGACTTTTTTCTGGTTATTACCTGAATAGTATAACAACTTACTCATACAGCACTCAGCCCACAGATCCTGCTTCTTTGCTGTTTTTGCATAATTTTCTCCAGATGTCCAGTAATTTATCTATGCCACCCAGGTTGTTGAGCAGTAAGATGGTGTCTAGTCTTTTGCTATTGTGATGAATGATTTTCACTCATAAGTAAACTTTGTTTATATGTCATTTCTCACAAAGACACTTGAACCATGAGTATATAGATGTGGGGTGATGGGGTGTCTCCGTAAAGGTTTTACCAGATTGTCAGGTAAACCCAACTACTCAAGGGGCTGAGATTGGGAAGGTTAGGTTTCAAGGACAGAAATATAAAGGGCTGGAGGCTTAATCTCAAGTGATAAAGTGCCTGCCTACCAAAACACAAGACTGTGAGTTCAAACCCCAGTACTGCAGAGAGAGAGACAGAGTCAGAGAAAGAGAGAAGGGCAGAGAGAGAAAAGAAGAAGAGAGCAAGGGGCACTGGGGAGGGGGAGTGGGGGGAGCTGAGTGTGGTAGCTGTAATCATAGCTACTCAGGAGGCTGAGATCTGAGGTCTGCAGTTCAAAGCCAGCCTGAGCAGAAGAGTCTGTAACACTCTTATTTCTAATTAAGCACAAAAAGCCAGGAGTGTAGCTGTGGCTCAAGGGGTAGAGTGCTAGTAGAGCTGTGGCTTAAGAGGTAAAGTGCTAACTTTGAGCAAAAAGGCTTAGGGACAGTGCCTAGACCCTGAGTTCAAGCCCCAGGATTGGTGCACACACAACACACACTATACTAGATCATGCTTCTAAAAACGCAGTTAAGTACTTGCCTTCTCTATATTTATTTTAAAGACTATATGTGTTTTCTTTAGGTTACAAGCCCCAAGACCTCAAAGGTACTGCAGAAATCACCCTCTTCACGAAGAATGGTGAGAGGACAAAAAGATCCCCCCTCCCCCGTTCACATACTATTAACTCCCCCGCCCATCATATTCCTGTGTAATTGTGGACATAATCTAGTCTTCAGGCTTGGTGTTTGCAGTGTGGAACATAAAGAGTGATACAGTTACTGAACTCACGATTCCCAGTCTGTGAGTAGGTGTCCATTCCACACTTATGAATGCCATGGACGTGATAAGGGAGATGGGATTGTTGTGATCATCAGACTGGTAGCATTAGACTTGGAATTTATCTTTCAGATGTTTCTAGGAAGCTAGGAGGGAGGGATGTGAGCTGATGAGAAGAGTGTTTCAGGAGTCAGTTCTGCCTGCAGTCAGCCAGGGACTTTGTCTTCTCCCCAACCCAGATCCCTTAACACCCACTTCCCAGAATACTGCCTTCATTCTTGGAAAAGTATTAGGACAGACCATAAAAACTGGCCCTATTTTTTTTTTAACATTTTGCCAGGGAGCAGTGGGCCATGCTTTGTAATCCTAGCTACTTGAGTGGCTAAGAACAGGAGGATCACAATCTGAGGCCAGCCTGAGTTCTCAAGACCTCTTCTTAAGCCCTAGCTGAATATAGTGCTGCTCACTGCTCATCCTAGCCACACGAGAGGCTGGGATGGGGAGGATTGCCGTTCCAGCCTAGCTTGAGCAGAAAGTCCATGAGACTCCATCTCCACAGAAGCTGGGCATGATGATGCACACCTGTCATCCGAGCTATTCTAAGAAGCCTGAATCCGGCAGATCAGTCTAGGTATATGCTCGAGAAAAGAAGTGATACTTTATCTCCAAAAATAGTGCATTAAAAAAAGGCTGGAGGCATGAATCAGAGGTAGACTGCCTGCCTAGTAAGTGTGAAGCCCTGAGTCAAAACCTCAGTACTTAAAAAAACAAGTAGCTTCAGTGAGTCAAGATTTTGAAACAAAGAGAATTTTCTATTCTAATGAGAGAAATTTGTGTAGGAGACAGCACCAGTCTGACTATCCCATTTAGCTGTAAGCTCAGATGTCCCCATGCTGGTGATGGGTTAGGAAAGCAAGCAGCCCCTGGTGTTGAGCTGTGTGGTGTAACAACACACTCTAAAGGACAGATTTCAAGTGCTTGTGCGGAAGCTGACTTGGCCTGACCATTCAAGGCCACTAGCAAAGGGAAGATTCTTGGTTAGCCAAGTCCTATTTTCCACTTGATCCCTAAAATTTCTAAAGAGTTGCTCTTCTCAAAATAATTAGGGACAGAATCCTGCTTAAAGTAGGCTTATTTGGGTCACTGTTCAATGAAGACATTGGCAGAGACATTGGATTTTTGACAGACTCATTTTACTCCTGTCATGAGTTTAAGGCTGTACAGTGAGGTCTGCTTATAAAAAGGAAGGTAAGGAAGATCGCCCAGCTCCACTGAATGTGTCACGTATACCTTTTCCTAATCCCACGCACCTCTGATTGTCATATCTCTCAAGTGCAGCCCCTAATTGCCATTCATCCTAGTTTGACAGTGTTGTGAATTTTTCCTTGTTGGCAGTCGGACGTACCAGAAGGGGTCATACGAGTCCACGCTCCACTTCTGTCCAAGGTTTCCATGGCCATTCAACTCAACAGTCAAACCAAAGCCAAAGATATACTGGCGAAATTTCAGTATGAGAACAGGTGAGCCGATGGAAATGAGGGTCACTCTCTGTGCCAGTAACTTCCCAGGGACCTCCAGCTGTGGCCTTTGGAGAAGTTTGGGAATTACACGTGCTAAAAGTAGTTTGGTGTTAGGTTTGTGAGCAACAAAGGCTGCTTTGTAAATGGATTTCCATAAATGGGATTCTTCCTGGATTGTTTGCTGGGTAGCTTCATTTACTCAGTGAGGTTTCCCTGTTAATACAATGAAAAGCTGGGCAAGTTAATTTACAGCTCCCTGAGGACACCGTAGCTGCTAATAATTCTCAGGATCAGATCTGTTCTTCCATATCTGCTGTAAGTTACCATAAAAGAGCATCGATCATAATAATTTTTTTTCCAGGAATGCTTACTCAAGGATAACCATATGCCTGTAGGCTTTCAAATACTGAGAAACACTCATTAAAATTTATCTGTTGGATAGCTTCTAGTAAAAGTCATGGATCTCCTTAAAAACAATTCCAATTACATTTAAAAGGGAGTAGTCTTGTTGAACAAAAAGTGCCCATTGTAGAAGTGTAGATATTGGATGTGGTTCCATTGGTATGGCTTTTTTTCAAGTGACAGTAAAGTTGACAGAGGGAGGAGATAGGTCTGGGAAAAGAAGGGAGTCTGGCAGGGGAGGGGCGTAGGAGGGGAAAGGGTGTGGGGCACAGGTGTTGGAGCCATGGTGTTGGACTGAACTGTGGTAGTGGGTAAAGAGGTCCTTATAACATTGCATTGAACTTAGTATACACACACACACACACACACACACGGTTTTCTTTGTTTTTTTGTGTGTTTTTTTAATTTTTATTTTTTACTGTAAAGATAGTGTACAGAAGGGTTACAGTTAAATGAGTAAGGTAATGAGTACATTTGTTATTAAGCATTGTTACATCCTCCTTTGTTTTTCCCCTACCATCCCTTCCCTCCACAACTCCTCCCTGCCCCCCCAAGTTGTAAAGTTTGTTTTCAACTTAGTGTCTTGTAGGTCAACCTGTATCCTTGTATCAGCATTTGTATGAGCATTTTGTTATTTCCCTTCCCCTCTCCGAATTAGAAAAATGTATGTATAAAAGATGCAGGGCTTCTGCGTCAAATACAGTGAAAACAGGGGTTATACCGTGGGGGAAGAACATACAAGAGAAACAAAAAAAAATCACATAGTACATTTTAGTTATGTTAAAAACAATAGCAAGAAAGAAAAAAGTTGTGTCCCTATCTTGGGGTTCATTTCACTTAACATCATCTTATCTGGTCTTTATGTACAGAGCTTTTGACCTTTTCTGCTTGTCCTAAACTTATACTAGTTATTGCAAATAAGGGAAATCATGGGACCTCTGTGTTTTGGGGTAATGGAGGAGAACGGAAAAGGAGTAGACCAGACTCTATCATCAACAGGCGAGGACAGTTTATTGAGGAACAGTGAGGGGCGCAGACCTTCCTGCAGCTTTGGAGGTTGTGCAAGGGACTGGATTTGGGGGTGGGCTTATATAGGGCTTACCAAGGAAAGAGAGAATAAAAAAATGGGCTATGGTCTCCTTGGGCAATGTCAAGGGTAATGTCCTTGGCCAGGCCCACAGTGGAAACTGGGTGTGGGGGATATTGTCTCCTGGGGCCCAAGGTCAGAATGACTTGCCTATAGACAAGCACAAGAGCACACACCAGGTGCTTTGCTTGACCCTGGGGAATAAGGCAGTACTCAATCCTTCCGCTATGCATACAAGTAAAATTGTGAAAGTTGAATACATGGAGTTTTATCAGTGTCAGTATTCTGATTGTAACGTGATACTGTAGTTTTGCATCATGTTGCCCTTGGTGAAAACTGGATATGGAGTACCAAGAATCTTTCATAAGTCTTAGAACCAGTTGTGAATACACAGTTATTTGAACAAAAAGATCACCAGTGAACATAGTCTATGATGTCAGAAGTCAGAATGGTGGTTTTCTGGTGGGGATAGAAGGCATAATGATCAAGATGACATGTTGGTGGCTCCCAAGGAGCTCTGGATGCTGGGGCTGGTCACATAGTGTGTTCACTTTGAAAATCCATCAAGTTTTATCATTGTGACTGGCACTTCTATTACACACACACACACACACACACACACACACACACACAGGCCTTTGCTAGAAAAGAAGAGTAGACAGGTCAACGGGAATCTGAACTTGACCTCTCCTCTGCTGCTGACTCCGGCATCTAAAATAATGTAGAGTAGGCCATAAGCAGTCATACAAACACTTGAAATACATTCTAGGAATTTGGGTATCAGATACTTCCTAGGTTCTTTCTTGCATTCCAGAAGATTCTGTACTCTCAGTTCTTTTATAGAAGAAAATGTTTCTAAAAAATGAGAAGTAGTGACTATAGAAAGGCCCAAATCCTATGAAACAACTTTGAAAGACCCTGCCATGTAGGTATTATTTCTCACTACAACATGCAAATCTATAGTCATCTCAAGTAAAAAGCTAGCTAAACAAAAAGAGGGCAAGCATTTTCTTTCTCTCAGCATAGAGACGAGGACAATCTGAGGTAACAAGGCTTAAAGCCATTCCTGGGTTTGGATAGGGATCAGGTGCCTTTCAGAGCCTTTTCACCAGCACTTGAGTCTGGGATGGAAAAAAGAAAAACTGAATGGGACAATTACTTTCTCTGACTTTCTTCTTATAGTATACAGACTTGCAAAGAAAGCATTTTAGATGGTTCACAAAGCACCAAGCAGACTTACAATTGTGGCATTGGCTGCAGAGAAATACAGAAATGAAATGATTTCTTTTGGAGAGAATTGTGGCTGATGACAAGGCAGTGTTGTACATACAGATTTCCTGCCTGATAGGGTGACAAGTGTGTCTAGCACCAGGTGTGTCTCAGCTATTATTGGCCCCCAAGTACCCTGATTTAGAATTGTATGAACATCTCAGGACTTCAGGTCATGTCCATCAAACAAACAACAACAAAAACCATTTTATATGATAAATTCAGTCATAAAATGATCTCATGACCTTTATACTAACAATAAACAAATTTTTTAAAAGATCGCATGGAATGTAGTTCATCAATGCACAGTGATTTGTTTGCTGCTCTATTGCCTAATATGCAAATTTAGCTGAGATCTTGATAAAGGATTAAAACCTATTGCCTTCTCATTTTATTTCAGTCATAGTTCATCTGAATGTATTAAAATGCAGAACCAAAGGTTATATGAAGTTGGAGGAAATATAGGTAAGCATTCTCTAATAATTTTGACTTTCAAATATTCTTGGTTACTCTAAATGAAATATATAGATATTATTGTTAAGGTTCATTTGCAAATTTCTTAGCTAAAAGGTCAAAATCAGTACTTTTCTGTACTTGTTAAATCTCATGTAAGAGTGGTTATATGATTTGGCTCCATAGTCTCACAATTTCAATGAGAATGCTGTAGTGTGTATATACAGTAGATTTGGGATGTTAAAGTCTTTATGGAGACTTGTGTAAAACGAAGAGCACAACTGGGAATTTTCTGAACACACACACACACATACACAAACACACACACTTACTTTTTGTTTAACTTCTCTGTTTTAGCTCACAACCCCAAATCATTATTCTCAGCCACGTGCCAGTGTCTTACACCTGTAATTCTAGATACTCAGGAGGCAAAGATCTGAAGTTCATGGTTCAAAGCAAGATTGGGCAGGAAAGTTCATAGACTCTTATCTTCAATTAACCAACAAATAGGTGGAAGTGGAGCTGTGATTCAAGAAGTAGAATGCAGGCTGGGAAGGTGGCTCAGTGGTAGAGCGATTGCCTCGCATGCATGAGGCCCTGGGTTCGATTCCTCAGCACCATATAAGCAAAAGGAAAAAAAGCCGGAAGTGGCGCTGTGGCTCTAGTGGTAAGAGTGCTAGCCTTGAGCTGAAGAGCTGAGGGACAGCGCCCAGGCCCAGAGTTCAGCCCCATGACCAGTGGAAAACAAAACAAAACAAAACAAAAAACTATGTAGACATCAAGTAGTAGAACACTAGCCTTGAAGGAAAAAGTTAAGGGACAGCACCTAGGCCCTGAGTTCAAGCCCCGGTACTAACACACACACACACATACACATCACCACCATCAACACTAACATCAACACCAGCAACTTTCCCTTTCCCTGCTGTGATGGAGGAAAAGAAAATCCCTTCTACTTGCGCCTTTGTCCATACCCTCCAAGCTCCACAGTGCACCCACGGTAGCCAGTGGTTCTTCTCTGCTGCCTGGGAGCCTTCTTGTGCACAATCAGGGCAATTCTTGCTCTATTCCACTCCCTCCAGCACCTACAGTTTTTTCCCCCAACTGCAGCTCTTCCATTCTCATAAATGATTCTTAGCTCTCTCTCCTGTACAAAACTTGCCTGAGCCACCTTCAAGTCCCCTCCCTCTTTCTGTTAGCAGCACACCTCAGGGGTCTGCACTCCTAGCTCTTCCCAAAATGGTTCTCTTGAGCCCTCCCAGACCAGCCCTCCCCTCAGCACCTCACCAGCTCCACTCTCTTGTCGAGGTCCCTGGAGGAGTCTTGTGCTCAGAAATAACTCACTGGTTCTGTGGGAACTGATTAACTCACTCCGCTGCCTGAGTTGATCTTTTGATTTTGAACACCACTTTCTTCACTTGGTTTCAAGGACAGTCTAAGCTTCTGATTCGTATCCCACTTCAGAGTTTCTTGCCTATTCCTTCTCAACTTCTCTGCCTCCCCATATTGGAGGTGGAGGACACAACTCATTGGAATTGTGTGTGTGAATTTTGGGCTTTGAATTCTTGTGAACTACTGGATTTGCTTACAGATTCCTCTGTCTGTCTGCTTGCTTTAAATCCACTTGCTTCTCACACCTCCTCAACTTGCATCCTGAGCACTCCCTGGACTCCTAGCTGTCCCATGCAGTCACCACCTCTGCATAAGAGCTTTACACTTGCTCTGGCTTCTCCCAAGACTTCTGGTTCATTCCCCACTCCCCTCTGCCATGTCTTTGTTGATGTATCACTTCCTTAGTGGAGGCTTTGTGGCTCCTTCACTCTCTCCATGTTCCTTCCTGGCTTTGCTCTTCTCTAACATTCTTACCACCCTCTGACTTACTTTTTATTGAGCATATTTATTTGCTATGCAAACACCCTGAGGGCCAGTGTCTGAGGCTGAGTGATCCTTGCTATAGCCCCAGCCTACAGTAGTAACTGGCACCTGACAACTCTTCTGCCTAGGGGCAGAACTTGAGAATAAAGCATATTTTGAGGTAAAGCAAGAAATGGCCTGTTCCCAAATGACACTTGATTTGACTCTTCTCTATTCCTAGTTGTTATTATTTGTAAAATCATTGAAGGGCTGGTTGCTAATGGCTTACACCTGCTACTCAGGTGTCTGAGATCCAAGGATCTTGGTTCAAAGCCAATCCAAGCAGAAAAGTCTGTGAGATTCATATCTCCAATTAACCAACAAAAAGCTAGAAGTGAAGCTGTGGCTCAAGTGTAAAGGACCAGTCTTGAGAAGAAAAACTAAGAGCCTAGGCCTTGAATTCGAGCCCCCATGCTGACACAAAAAAATAATATGGTAGACTATATTTGCATATAAATTATCATCATAGTTCTTGATATATATCATGTATAAACAAATTCTTTACATATATTTTGAATTAATATAGTGAAGCTAGGGAGCAGCATTCCTTTGCTTGACACGTCAATTTTACCCACAGTAAATTAATTTCATAGGAGATTTATTGAGATTATTTTACAGTCCTGAGAGAAAAGGGGGGAGGTAGAGAGGGAGGGGGGGGAGAGGAAGGAGAGAAGGCTTTGCTAGGAAAACTTTTAACATGTGTACATAGGAAAGGGAAATTTTTGAACTTTAGAAATACAAGAATATACACACATGTGAACACAGGTTATGCTCCTGAAAACCTTATTGGCTTTTCTCTTTATTTTAGGACAGCATTGTTTGGATCCTGATGCATACATATTGGACGTGTATCATGTAAATCCTCATGCAGAATGGGTGATTAAACCCCAACCAAGACTTTGAAAAAAAAAAAGCCCAGAATGGCTATTGTCATGTATTATATGACAAAAAAAAAAATCCTGGCTTGGTTGGTGGGGGAAAACAACACTGCCTTGACCGGTTTGTTCCTGTAGACCTCTCTGTGATTTGCCTTCCTGAAGGATGGTGTCTCCACCTCTGTTGACAAGAACTATGGAAGGTAGCTGGCCCACACTAGGAGCCAGATGTTCTCATCGGTTTTCCTTGAGAAGAGGAAAGGAGGCGTGGTCCATCCAGAAGAAAGGCCCATATGGAATACAGAACCACCACTTGCCTTCCCTTGACTTTGCAGCAGATATTAACTTGGACCTACTACAGCTGGGGATCAGCAGCACTTCCTGCTGTAGCCTGTGCCACTACACACAAGACGTGAAGAGACCTTCTTTTTTATACTTTGTTCTATACCCATTTCACCTTATTTGAGCAAGAATGCCAGAAATAGCCTTAATTTCTGTCCTACAAAGAATCCAGATCTACTCTCCAAAGGGAATCAGTTTCTAACACGACACACACAATATTGCTTGTGTTGGAGGAGGAACTTCAGTCTGATGAAAAGTGTTATTATATCTGGATTTCCATGGGTTTACTGTTGGGGTCCTGGAGCAGTTGCATATTTCTCTGGCCAGTGAATGAAAATGGAGGTTTCATAACGAACCATCTTGTGAGCACCAGGCCCTGCTGTGAAGCTTATTTGTCCAAAGACAAAGGGGCTTCCACAGCAGTCAACAGCCAAAGAACCTTGACTTTCCCACCAACTTACGGTGCTCCATATCCTTCGAGGTGCCAGGAATGAACTTCCTTTTTAGAGCCCCATTTTACATTTCATAACTATAGAGAAGCACTTTGCAATACCAACCTAAAAAGACAAAACTGCTGTCTTCCAAGACTGCCACTAAAACTATGTCTTACAAGTCCTAAAAGCAGATTTTTGTTTTGATTCGGTCATTATAGACTAACCAGGCACTGTGGATTAGCATTTGTAAGCTGAATACATGTCACCATTTAAACGCTGCAGTCATGTCCTAGATCCTCAGATGGCCAAACACAGTCCTTCTGTTTCCAACTTTTAAGTATGCTGAGGAATGGTGTGGCATTGCATGGTCTCTTTCATATTGAGACAGCAGATAGAGTCATTGCCTGGTGAGCCCGCAGAGTAGACCTCTGACTCCTTTATCCCAAGCACATGCTTTAGCTGGGAGTCCCTAGATTTAGAGTCTGATAGATTTAGACTTTGATAGAGTTATTTGAACCTTAGAAATGCAAGAATATACACAAGAATAGATATATATACCTAAGACCTGCATGAGTCTCCCTTGCAATTCAAAGTGGAATTACAGATTAAGAAAGCATTTCTCGGTCTTCTAAGTCACAAAATCAGTGTGGTAATACTTTTAAGAGTACTAGAAGAAATAACCCCATGCTCCTTCATGCCTTGGTGTCTATACAAAACATTATTTATAGTCACTATGCAGACCATTGTGTTTCTGGCCTGTTGGGTTTTGTCAACACTTTTATAGAAAATACGAAGAGTCATTCATTTGAGAATTTTAATTTCCTTTGCCTGAAAACTCATTAGAAATTGTGACCTATGGGGTTTTTTTCTTTTCATCAATTTTCAGTATACTGATGGTATGTGAGTTTACATAAGAAATTATGTCATTCTTGCAATTTAAGAAGGACTAAACATTTCATCTTATATACTTGCCAAATCCCCACATCTAAAATGGCAACCATTGTGGCCTCATGTGGAAGAAATCCTTCTAATAGCTACCTTGTATTCATGTATGTATGTGAGAGGGGCTGATCTTTTGTACTTTTTCTCATTCAAATAGTTCAATTCTGTGATATTTAAACAGAAAATTTACAAATCAATTTCTTCTTTTTAGTTTAGTTTTCATTTCTTTTCACTGCAAATGCATTAGAATCTGTACATTCATTCCAAAGTTTTATGATCTAGTCCAACCTGCCATGGTGTAAATTAAGTGAACAGCAGATGACAGGTATAAAGTACAGTAACTGAATTTCTCCTCTGGTTTTGTGTGGTTTTAGATGGCAAATATTTGGCTAATTCAGTAACAGTAGTCCTTTCAGTTTATTGAAGGACATGGCAACTTTTAGATTACTGTGTAATCTGGAAGGTGATATCAATGTCAAATCATTGGATGGAAATTTTATTCTAAATCTTTACTAAAGCTTATGAATAGGGTAGTGAAGAATGTTAGTAGACATACACTACTATTTGTGTGATTAAAGAGGTTCTTTTTGCAGATTTTATTCTTAAAGAATAAAAAATCCCTACAATTAAATTTAAAATGCCTGCCACACTAGGCCTCCATGGCTCATACTTGTAATCCTAGCTACTTGGGAGTCTGAACTCTAAGGATGGCACTTTGAAGCCAGCCCAGGCAGGGAAGTCCATGAGACTCTTATCTCCAATTAACCACCAAAAATCTAGAAGTAGAGTTGTGGCTTGTGGGCTCATGGGAGAGTGCTAGCCTTGGGCCAAAAAGCTCAGGGACAGCACCCAGTCCTGAGTTCAAGCCCCAGGACTGGCCACACACACACACACACACACACACACAGCCTGTCACCTAAGTATTGAAAGAAATTTTCCCTTATCAAGGGTTATTTATAAAAGTTCAGTAAACCAACCTGATGAATAACACATTTTCAAACAAAAGAAGGCCAGATACATGGCTTGTAAATGGCTCCTCACTGTCTTCCCCCATCCCAAGTGCTCTTGGTACACAATTTGGAGACTATGCCCTCCAAGAAGGAATTGCAGGAGATTAACTTAAGAACAATTCCTGGAACGGGCTCATTTTCCCTCCATTTTTGACAGTGGATCCCTTGTGAAGTGAAGTAGCTCACTTGGGAAAGTGATGTTTGGGAGTCCGTGGCCTTTGAACAACCTGGAAGGCCAACTCTCTACAGTGTATGTACAATATAAACTACCTCACTTACTTTTCTGGGGAAAACAATGCAATAGTCTTTAATATTCTGTCCCTGAATCTAAGTATTTAATAAATTGCTTCAGTTAGCTTTCACTGGTACATCTGATCATATACATTTACTGATGGTTTTAGTAAAAGCTTGAATACCTGAAATACTCCAGAGGTGTGTTGGCATCTCTGACAGAACCTGTGTCGCTTAGAGATTGTCACATGTTTCGAACCATGTGGAGATCCATGTCTTTGGGTTTTTAATGTTCATTTCTACTTTCAGGGATTCTCAATGGCTGGTCACATAGTTCACTTGGCTGCAAAATATCAGGAGGTTAAAATGTCCCTTCTTCCTTAGAAGCATATTGCAACTCTTCTTTCCCCCTGCATGTACGCTTGCCTGAAATGATGGCAGACTAGGGGATGAGATAGTCCCCAATGGGCATTTTTCAACTCTTCCCCACAGATACATCACTTAATAAAAAAAAAGGTATTTTGACATGGGATTACAGTGGTTTCTTTCAAGCATGTTAATTTTATTCACACACCGAATTAGAATTTTTTTTCTTTCAGGAACTTTTCTAAAAGTGTGATTTGATGACAGAATTGTTTCACTGGAAAATGTCCATATTGTGTGTTCACTCCTATCGCAAAGTTCACACGGACTCTGCTCTCAGCCCTCACTGTTCAGCAGAACATGGCTATGGCAATTAAGTCACACCAAAAAAGAAAATTAGAGAAAAGCTACAGAGACTGTCACAGTGTCTAACAGTTCCGAGTGTGTAACAGTACTGGGAAGAGGCACTTTTGCAATTGGAAATGTCTGAGGATGGTCTTGTGCAAAAGGCACTTCTGCCATGACAAGGACAGGTAGGGAGTGAGGTAAAGGACATATTAAATCAGCAACTATTAGCCAAATTTGTTTGGAGTAGTGTTCATGTAGGATTTCCAATTAACCATCCAAAAGCTGAAAATGGAGGTGTGACTCAGGGGTAGAGGACTTGCCTAGCAAGCATCAGGTCCTGAGTTCAAATTCCCAGTATTTCCTCTTCAATTGATTCCTCTTCAATTGATACTGGAGGATGAGTCTTAGGAAATGCTCCATATGGTCTATATCCCTCTACCCAAGTTGAGGGAAAGACTTTCTCTTTTTTTGGGGGGGTCCAGTCGTGGGGCCTAAACTCTGGGCCTGGACTCTGTCCCTCAGCTCTTCAGCTCAAGGCTAGTGCTCTACCACTTGAGCCTCAGCGCCACTTTCTTTTTGCTTATGTGGTGCTGAGGAATCAAACCCAGGGTCTCATGCATGGAAGGCAAGTGCTCTACCATTGAGCTACCTTCTCAGCCCCAAGACTTTCTCTTTTAGGAGAAAAAACTTACATATCATAGTTTTAAAACATGCATATGCCATCCTCAGATCCATTTACCATTATTTCAATAAAAAAATCTGCCTTCCTAATTAACCACATTAACCACGGGAAGTAGCCAGAAAGGTAACCTAAAGGCAGTCTTGCATATTGCTCAATCTTAAGAGATTGAGGATTATGGGTATTTATATTAAATAATCTTTTTTAAACAAATAGATCACAGTCTGGAATTATATCTGGTTTAGCAAAGTGCCACATTTAAAAAAGTTCCAAACTCAATTCATTCCCACCTACATTTTTACAACTTTATGCCCAAACTCATTTCACCTACAATGAAAAAAAACAAACAACAACCCTACCTTATGAGTGATTTCTTGGAAGTCTCTTGGAGAGGTTCTGCATATCCCTTGCAAATTTGGGGGCAGAAGTTTGAAAACACAGTTCCAGCTGGTGGTAAAGGACACATTCAAGCCTATCCTCTCCTCTGTACTTCATGAAATTTGTTTTATTGATTGATGTATAACTGCTACATATTCATAGGTACAGCATTCATACTCATGGACTGCAACACATGTGTACATTGTGTAAGGATCAAGTCAGGGACTTAGCATATTCATCCTTTAAACATTTATCGTGTCTCTGAGAACATTCTATTTCCTCTATTCTAGCTATTGAACTGTTTATTACCTTACCATATTCCTCCCGTCTAACAATGCAAGTAGACTGACCCCTTCTCTATCCCTCAGCCTCTTGTAACTACAATGCTGCTGTAGAATTCTTTGAGATCAACTTCTTTTTTACTTTACAGGTGAGATCATGCACTTTTTTTTAAGCTTTTTTTCTTTTTCTTTTTATTCTTCTTTATTTTTTTTTAGTTGTGGGACTTGAACTCAGGGCCTGGGCACTATCCCTGAGTTTTTTGCTCAAGGTTAGCACCCTACCTTGAGCCACAGGGCCACTTCCAGCTTTTTTCTGTGTATGTAGTACTGAGGAATGGAACCCAGGGGTTCATGCATGCTGGTAAGCACTCTACCACTAAGCCACATTCCCAACCCGAGATCATGCGCTTTTAAACCTTTATAGACTGTCAGCTGTCAATGATCATTACTATATCCTGCTTTCCCAGTATTTGTCCCTAGATGGCAGCAGAGGATTTCCATTCATTCTAAATCAGTTGGCTAAGGCAGTCCAAATACAGCACAGTACAACACAAGGGTGGTTGTGATATGTTATCTGGTTATAACTGCAATGATCTAAGG